TAGGTGCTCATTATCTGTTGAATATGGTTGGATCTGGCAGGACAGGGACCGGGAAGGGAGGGCTGAGGACGGTCGAGAGAAGGCAGGACAAACCCGATGGCACTGGGCAGAGGCAGATGAGAGCTCTAACCACCAGCACTGCCCAGCTCCCAACCCCCAGCCACACAGCAAACACTTCATGCTTCTGCTCTGCCAGGGGCCACCTTGAGAGCCCACATTTACTGAGAAAGACACTAAGGCTTTGGAAAGGGGCAGGGACTGCTCCCGAGGGAAGCAGGGGCAGGGGCCTCCGGGACCGCCAGGGTGGGGACGCTCTGCAGGACAGGTGGCTGGAGCCTGGGAGAGAGGTGGGAGCTTCTGGGAACAGCCTGGAGCTGGTGGTGGGGGGGGGTGTGGATGGCCAGGCTCCCAAGGCTCAGGGCTCAGGTTATCTTACATTCATTTCATTTTGTTTTCACCTGACTGGATCCAGGGGCACCTGAGTGGCTCAGTCGGTTAAGCGTCTGACTTCGGCTCAGGTCATGATCTCACGGTTCATGGGTTCGAGCCCTGAGTCCGGCTCTGTGCTGACAGCTCAGAGCCTGGAGTCTGCTTCGGATTCTGTGTCTCCCTCTCTCTCTGCCCGTCTCCCACCCATTCTCTCTCCCTCTCTCTCTCTCTCTCTCTCAAATATTAATAAACATTGGGCACCCGGGTGGCTCAGTTAAGCATCCGACTTCAGCTCAGGTCAGGATCTCACAGTCCATGAGTTTGAGCCCCGCATCGGGCTCTGTGCTGACAGCTCAGAGCCTGGAACCTGCTTCGGATTCTGTGTCTCCCTCTCTCTCTGCCCCTCCCGCACTCATGCTCTGTCTCTCAAAAAATGAATAAATGTTAAAAGAAATTTTTTTAAATAATTGAAAAAATGAATAAACATTAAAAAAAAATAAATAAAACAAAGTGACTGGGTCTCAGCACTTTGGAAAGTTTCCAGGACTTTTCAGACGTAGCCAACACTAAAGGCAAGAGCTCACTGCGGTGAGGGTTTCTGGCAACTTCTCTGGCTTCTAAAGAAAAGAGTCATGGAAACCAGAGGCCCAGGCCTCTCTGGTGCTTGGAGAAACATGTCGGGGTCAAGAATTTCCCACCCGTAAATTCCCCACGCTTCAAGTTCAGAGGAGGTCTGCGCAGGGCTGGGGTTTGCATAACCTCTCACATCCCAGCTCTTCCTGCTTTGCGGCCTCCTGACAAGCTTGTCATCTGGGCCAGGGTTCACGAAGATGGTCTGATGCACCGAGACGCGCAAACAGATGTAAAGTCAGACTGAAGCTCGGTGCCCTGGAATTTGCGTGATCAAAAAGGGAAATTAAAAAAAATATATATATATATATATATATATATTTTTTTTTTTTTTTGGCAAAAACGGTTTTGGAATGTGCACCCCGGGGCGCTGGGCACAGGAACCCCCTGTCAGGGCCTCCTGGTTCCCCATTTCCCTCCACACACACCAGCATGGTGTCTCCCAGCCAATGTGCCACAGTGACCCCATTTCCCCTTGCACTTGTCCCTCTTCAGAATTCACCAAACAAAAGTCAGCATCTTTGAAGTGGATGTTTATAAATCCAAGACTTTTTTTTTTTTTTTCCCCAGAATGTTTGGAGGCCTTAGCAGATTATTTTAACTCTTTTCCCCAGATGTTCTTGCCATATTTGGGCAAGACAAGAGACAGGAGGGCTTTTTTTGTTTGTTTTTTTTCATGAGAAACTGCACTGTCTGGGAGAAGGCCACGGGTGCCTGGGTCTTCTCTCTCTCACGGGCGATTCTGGGCTGAACCTTCACGAACAACTCAACCAGGTCCTGTTCCAGTCCAGGTACACAAATGATCATCGGACGGGAAATGTCAGCCTGTAAACATTTTTGGAGGAACCCCCCAGCACCTTGCCCAAGAGATCGCTACCTCTGGGGCAGAGACTTTCTGTCACTTTCTGTCTCCCAGAGATAAGGGTCTGATCATCCACTCGGCATGGCAGGGCTCGGGGCGATCGGACTCGTGCCCATTTCACAGAGGGGAAAGCGAGGCCCAGAGAGGGGAGCAGCGTGTCCGGTTTTTAAACACATCTTCGCGTGGGCACATTTCAAATCTATAGACACGTTTCAAGAACAGTATAATGAATATCCATGTTTTTTTTACCAAATGTTAACATTCTGCGACATGTGCTTTCTCTCTCTTTCTCTCTGTCCCTCCTTATTCATGTATCTGCTCTCGCTTCGGAGGTGGTGACATCGTCCGGCATGTAGCTCCTTCTACGTGACCACGATACTGTGACTGCATTCTGGAAATGGCAGATCTACTCAATATTATTATCTGATACCCATTCCATCATCTGGATCCCCCTCATTGTCCTACTAGCCGTAATAGGGCTCTTTGTAGGTAGTTTTCATCCAGGAATTAATCAAGGGTCACCAGGGGCAGTTGGTGGTTGAGCCTCCTTCAGTCTTCAACAGTTGTCAGCCTTTTGTTCTGTGTTGTGTTTGCCTCCGGCTTTGCTGATATTAACGTTTTCAAAACACCCAGGCCAGCTGGTTTGCAGGAAGTCCCTCAATTTGTGTTTGTCCGGTTGTTTCCTCTTGGTCTGATTTAGGTTAAACTTTTGGGATGGGAACACTGCCAAGAAGATCCTGGGCCCTTCTCAGAGGCATGACACCAAGGAAGCACATGAAGTCAGTCTATCCATTATTGGTTATCTTACGTCTGATTACTTCCCTAGGCTGTTGTCCCCAGATTCCTGCACATCTTGTTCCTTAAAAAATCTTTCACCTATGGGGCGCCTGGGTGGCTCAGTCGGTTAAGTGTCCGACTTCGGCTCAGGTCGTGATCTCGCTGTTTGTGGGTTCGAGGCCCGCGTCAGGCTCTGTGCTGACAGCGCAGAGCCTGGAGCCCGCTTCGGATTCTGTGTCTCCCTCCCTCTCTGCCCCACCCCCGCTTGCACTCTGTGTCTCTCTCTGTCTCTCAAAAATGAATACACATTCAAATTTTTTTAAATTTTATTTTTTAAAATTCACATCCCAATTAGTTAGCATATAGTGAAACCATGATTTCAGGAGTAGATTCCTTAATGCCTCTTATTCATTTAGCCCATCCCCAAACATTAAAACATTTTTAACAAAATGTTTCATCTATGGTTTTAACATTCATTGAGATGATTATTTCTTGAAATCGGTTATTACCAGGATGTTTGCAAAATGGCGATTTTTGGTTTGTCATTCCTTGCACATTTATTAGTTGGTGTTCTCCGAAGAAAAATGTTCTCTTTTACAACATTTAAAAAATGTTTTTTTAATGTTTTTATTTATTTTTGAGACCGAGAGAGACAGAGCATGAGCAGGGGAGGGGCAGAGAGAGGGGGAGACATAGAAACTGAAGTGGGCTCCAGGCTCTGAGCTGTCAGCACAGAGCCCAACACGGGGCTCGAACTCACGGACCGCGAGATCATGACCTGAGCCGAAGTTGGACGTTCAACCGACTGAGCCACCCAGGCACCCCATACACGTTTTGTTTTTACTTTTTAAGTTTTTTAAAGGTTTATTTATTCCGAGTTCGAGAGAGAAAGAGAGAGAGAGCAGAAGAGAGGGGCCAAGAGAGAGGGAGACAGACAAACCCAAGCAGGCTCCACACTGTCAGCACAGAGCCCAATGCAGGGCTCGAACCCACAAACCACAGATGACGACCTGAGCCGAAGCCAAGAGTCAGATGCTCAAATGACTGAGCCACCTAGGCTCCCCTGTTTTATAACATTTTTTAAAGTGCCAGTATTGGCCCGCGGATTCATGTTTCACCCAAGGGGCTAGATTTGTTACTTTTATTCTTTATTTTGTGTGCAAACTTTCCATCTGGCCGCTGGGCGCCCCTTCAAGCCCCTTCTGGGCCTGCACCTTGGACATAGTCCCATCGTTTTCCAGTACTTTAGTTTCTAGGCTCCTCCTGACATTCTCTGTCCCAGCCCGGAAGTTACCATCTCTCCCAGGGGGCCCAGTGCCTTTTACTGGGGAAGGCTTTTGCAGGACCCAGAGTGCTAAGTGACTGTGGCTAGGCCCTTTGAGCAGACAGAGCTAGGGAGTTGCTATTTTTATCTTAGCAATACTACCAATTCAAAACTCCCTGAGTTCTCCTCCCCCCCCCCCCCCCCGGCCCCCCAAATCTCCCTCGTGCTGTATTGAGGACCTGGGTCCTGACACCAGTTCTGGGGCACACCCAAGCCGCTGCAGAACTGCTCTGCCCTCCCCACCCCTGCTTCACTCCTGCGGTCCAGGCCTTGGCTACAGCTCTCCCTGCCTTCACAGTGCTCTCTACAAGGGAGCACAGTCAGACAGGCCTCGTCAAGTTTCTAGGTAGTTTTCTGCACCGGGTTATGTCGTTCATGCTATACCCGGATTCCTTACTTTCTGTTAAGTTTCCAATTTTAGTGGGGGGGGCCCCCCCCCCCGGTGTGGTGATTTATTTCTTATATGTAAAATACAGTATTTAAGACACTCTTGGAGATTCCTGACGCTGGAAGAGTGTGTGTGCGGCCTGGAGAGTCCCTGGCCGTCCACCTGTGAACCCCAAGGGTCACAGCGGGGTCTCTGGAGAGCTCACAGGCCCGGGACCTCGTGGTCTCTATGACAGCGCTTTTTCTCATTAGCCTGTTTAATCTTCACAGGAGCCGAGAGAGTATCTGGCACCTAGTAGGGTCTCCGTAAACAGCCGTAGGAATTAGAGGCCCATTTCACAGGGTGGAAGCCGTGGCTCAAAGAGGGGACGTCTTGCCCGCAGAGGTCTCATTAGGGAAGAGACGCCGTGAGAGCGCCGCCCCAGCTCCTTGCACACAGTAGGCGCTTCGGTGGAGACGCGGGGCGGGCCTGTGCCCCGGGAAACCAGAGTTCTGGGTAGACGGGGCGGGGCGTATGCAAATAGCCAGCGAGGAGGCCGGGGATTGGCCGGCGCGGGCGGGGGCGGGGCGCGCCGAGGGAGGGCCCAGGCCGCCAGGTGCGCGGACCCTGAGAGGCGCGGTGCCCGCTGGACCGCGCGCGCCCCGCGCTCCCCGCGGCTGGTTCAAGGCCATGCTTCCGCTCTGGGCCCTGCTGGCCCTCGGCTGCCTGCGCCTCGGCTCGGGTGAGCGGGGAAGGGGAGAAGGGGCCGTGCCTCGGGAGGGCGGGCAGCTGTGACCTGGGCCCTGACCCTCCCACAGTCCTCAGAGGAACCTGGATGCAAAGGAGCATTGGGAACGGGGAGCTTCGCGTGTTCTCTCCAGGAACGGGCACGCCTGCCTGCTCTGTGCCAAGCCCTGTGGATCCTCTGGGGATTCGGGTGTTGCTAACAATAGACCACACTAACTAATAAGCTTCCTCAGGTGGGATTCCAGGGCTCAGGGATCACAGATCCCTGTGATGGGTGCTGTGAGAGACAGACGCACAGGGGGGCTGCGGGAGAGCAGAGAAGGGGCGGGACTAGACCCTGGAGAGGCCCGGACTGGCGGGGATGGAGGGGCATTGCAGGGGAAGGGGCAGCCCCCGCAAGTTCAAGGAGGGGGGCAGTATGGTCTATCCTGGGAACCTCCCGACCACTGTCCATCAGCGTGGCTGGAGCATGGGGTGGGGGTGGGGGTGGGTGGGGGGCGTGCTTTGGGGTGAGGCCGCAGGCCCAAGGAAGCAAAGCCCAGAACCTCAGGACTTTGATGCCCCTTCAGAGGGGCTGGACTGTGTTGGAGTCCCTTCCAACGCAGTGGGGAGCCACAGAAGGGGCCCAGGAGGAGAGTGACAGGGTCAGGTTTGCATGTTAGAGAGCAGAGAATGGGGGAAGGGTCCACGTGAAGAGAGTGGAGCCGCTGGACTGGGCTGACTGCGTGAAGAGATGCTTAGGAGAGGCAGTGGGGTTCTTGGCAACCGAAGAGAGAGAGGGCAGCAGGGGGCTGGACCGCTTGGCTTCAGGGGGCGGGAGGGGGGGGGTTGGGGGGGCAGGGGTGCCACCTGTGTCTGAGACAAGTTCCTGAAATGGCCCTCGGGGAGGCCGAACCCCAGTGCCCGGCACACTCTGGGTGTCGGGAACCCTGTGCAGACATGGGGTGGGGGGCAGAGTGTGCCCAGGGGTGTGGGCTCTTCTGCTGGGGGTCAGCTCCTGTCCTCACTGCCTCCTCTAGGTGTGAACCTCCAGCCCCAGCTGGCCAGTGTGACCTTTGCCACCAACAACCCGACCCTCACCACGGTGGCCTTGGAAAAGCCTCTCTGCGTGTTTGACAGCTCAGCGGCCCTCGATGGCACTTTTGAGGTGTACCTCTATGTCCTGGTCGACTCAGGTAAAGGCCTTCTTCCCGCGGGCCGCACTGAAAGGGGCTTTGACCTGTCTGCAGGGAGGAGGAAGGGACACGGGTGGCGGGGTGCTTTAGCACCGGAACGCGACTACCCCCGCGTACCTTGCTGCCAGGCAGCCCTGGGGGCTCCGTGCCAGCCCTGGGCGGGGAGCTGAGGCCACAGGTATGGACTCGTCCCCGAGAAGCGTCCAGTCTAGCGGAGAAATAAAAGCAGCACCAGTCACTGAGCACCTGCATCGTGCTCAGTGCTTCCCACACCTTAGAGCTAATATTGACAACCGGCCGGCCGGACAGCTGCTAGGATGCCCACCACAGAGCAAGGAATCAAGGCTCGCAGAGGTGGAGTCACTCGTGGGAGCCCCCGGGCTGGAAAGGGAACCCAGATCACTGTGGTGTCTCAAGCCCCGGCCCTTCCCCAGGCTCCCCGAGGTGGTGCCTGATTGGGGTTTGCGAGGGAAACCATGCACTTGGACCCACGTGCTCTGGCCCGGCCTCGCCTGCTCCCTGGGGCGATCCTGGGCTTCTGAGGGAAAGAACCCAGTGACGACCTCTGACATTTCTGGCAGCCCGTTCAGGGCCATCATTTCATTCTTTCAGCCGACACTTCCCGCCTGCCTACCTGCGCCCGATCTGTGCCCACTGCAGGGGGGTTCTCTCCCATTTTACAGACCAGGGCCCAGAGAGGTACAAGGGGTTGTCCAAAATCACCCGGCAAGTAAGGAAGGGACCCAACGCAGGTCTGTCTGCCTGCATGCTGTTTCCCCTGTACCGTGGCACCCTCTTTTCTCATTTTACGGAAGATCCAGGGCTCTCAGGGGAAAATGGTGGAAGTCTGTTGGGGCGGGAGGGTCTGTAGGAAGAGGAGGTGGGTGAGAGCCGGGAGCCGGGCACGGCGCCCGAAGCCGAGAGGTGATCCCGTCTGCCCCCTCCGTTGCACAGGGAGCCCTCGGAGCAGGGCTGAACCTGCCTCGGCCTGGGACGCAGGGCCCAGCATAGCGCTGGCTCAGGGAGGTTGTCCGCGGGTATTGGGTGGATGGCTGAGTGAGTGCCTTTGAGCTGAGCTGGCCAGGAATCTCACTCCCGACCCTGTCTCTGCAGCCAGCTCCAGGAACGCCTCCGTGCAGGATGCCAAGACCCCGCTGAGCTCCACCTTCCAGCAGACAGAGGGGGGAAGGACAGGCCCCTATAAGGCAGCGGCCTTTGACCTGATCCCCTGTGGTGACCTGCCCAGCTTGGATGCCATCGGGGATGTGGCCCGGGCCTCGGAAATCCTGGACGCCTACCTCGTCAAGGTGGGCGCCAACGGCACCTGCCTTTCAGACCCCAACTTCCACGGCCTCTGCAACCCGCCCCTGTCGGCGGCCACGGAGTACAGGTGGGTGTGGGCAGCTGTGGGTGAGTGACCGTCATGCCCCAGCCCTGAAGGGCCCAGAAGGGCCGCGTTTCTTGTACCAGGACTGGCCCAGGGCTCACGAAGGGGCCTGCTTCGGGGCGTGTGACCATGCCAGGGCCCCATGCACTCAGAAGGACCCCTCCTTGGCTTAATCCTCTGCCTTTGTCATCTTGAAATTCTTTTATTATTTTTTAAATCTTTTTTGTTTTCACATTTGTTTATTTTTGAGAGAGAGAGAGACACAGAGACAGTGTGAGAGGGGGAGGGGCAGAGAGAGAGGGAGACCAGAATCTGAAACAGGCTCCGGGCTCTGAGCTGTCAGTAGAGAGTCCGACACGGGGCTCGAACTCACGGACCGTGAGATCATGACCTGAGCCGAAGTCGGACGCTCAACCGACTGAGCCCCCCCGGCGCCCCCCCCCCTTTTTTTTTTAAGTGTTAAACTAGAGGCTGTTGATTTTTTGGTTCTCAGAATATCCGCTGTTTTAAACTGACCATGTATGAGACCGTCAGTGGGCTCTTGGTACTTTGTGCTGATTCTCCTTTATGATTAGAAACACTTGATTGGGGTTTTCTACATAAAAATATAGCCCTGTCCCAGGAAAGTTGAGTTGGGAATGAATATTATTCCTTTTTTTTTTTTTTTTCTTTTTTAAAGTCCCTTTTGTGTGCCAAGGACCAAGCTGGGAATACTGGAAGGCAAAAATACCACCAGGACAAATGGGTTAATACTCAGCCAGTATGCTACAGGCCTCGTATAGATAATAGAGAAATGGTGGGGGCGGGGCTCCCAGAGGGAGAGCTGACAGGAGGGCCGTTGGTCCCTTCCCGGAGGCTTCCCGGAAAGAGTCCAGGGGCAGGAATATGGGGCAACGGTGCCGATGCCAAATCCAGCACTGTCCTGTCGCCCAGAGCCCACCCTGTGGCCGCCTAGATTTCCATCTCCTAGAAGTACCCCGTCTGTCCCCCAAACCTGTCCTCCCAACCCCTCCCACCTGCCGGTGGCCGGGGCGCACAGGATGAATAGAAGTCGCCCTTTCCTCTGTCTCCTTGCAGGTTCAAGTACATCCTCGTCAACATGTCCGCGGGCTTAGTACAGGACCAGACCCTATGGTCCGACCCCATCCGCACCAACCGTCGTAAGTGGTGGTGGGGGGGGGGAGGGCTGCGGGGCAACCCTCAGGGGAACCCGGGGAAGCAGACTCAGCCTGTCATGGGGAAAAGTCTCCCCAGATGCAGGGCGGGCTGTTGGGTTGATGAGGAAAGTGCATCTTTAAAAAAATGTTTTTTAATATTTATTTATTTTTTTGAGAGAGAGAGAGAGAGAGAGAGTGCGTGCATGTGTGTGGGGTGGGAGGGAGGGGCAGAGAGAGAGGGAGACAGAATCCGAAGCAGGCTCCAGGCTCCGAGCTGTCAGCACAGAGCCGGGGCTCGAACCACGAAGCATGAGATCATGACCTGAGCTAAAGTCGGACGCTTAACCGACCGAGCCACCCAGGGCCCCAGAGGTGCATCTTAAAATGGTTTACCTGACACTTGCCCCCTCCCTTGTCTGAGGTGTTGTGGTGGGTTTTGCTGGCGTAACTGAGGTGGGTGTGGCGTTTGTCCTGCATTCCATCCTGACCCCCCCACCCCATGTTGAGTCCAACCCCACGGTAAGCTGACGGGCCATGCAGTAGCTCTGAAAGGTAGCTTGAAGTCACATGGCTAGTGACGGGTGTGGACAGGGCGTGTGTGCATGTGGCTGGGGTGGCTCCCCGCCTGCCCATGCGTTGTGGCCGTGGGACCAAGAGTCCCAAGTTCAAGCCCAGCCTCTGCCCCTCACTGCTGTGTGAACCCTTCAGAACCTCAGTTCCCACATCTCAGAAGTGGGAGGAAAAACCCTTGGTCTGCCTCCCCAGCCGGATCCCTTTGAATTATCCAGGCAGAAGCACCAGGCCCAGTTCTTTTTGGGCAGGGCCCGAGGTCAGTTTGTGGGAAGACTGTGCCCTTTGGGACTAGACAGACCGGCACGTAAACTCGAGTCTAGAGTCCGAGTGCCCTGGGACAGGAACTCAATCTCCCTGAGCTGCAGAAAGTGATCTGTAAGTTGTTCACTGAGTTCTAAAGGGTGACTTTGGTAGAGGGGTGGAGGGGTTCTGTTAGACCAGGGCCCTTTGCCTCATCTTTAAAAATTTTTTTAAAAATTTTATTTTTGAGAGGGTTTTGAGAGAAAGAGAGTGAGCAGAGGAGAGGCAGGCACAGAATCCAAAGCAGGCTCCAGGCTCTGAGCTGTCAGCACAGAGCCCGACGCGGGGCTTGAACCCACCGACCACGAGATCATGACCTGGGCTGAAGTCAGATGCTTAACCCACGAGCCACCCGGGTGCCCCAGGCCTCATCTTTAATTGCGGATAATCCGTATCCCATCCATTTCACCAGAAGAGTTGAGTTAGGTTGTAATTTAAAATTATGCAAAAGGCCAGGGACACCTGGGTGGCTCAGTCAGTTAAAGCCTCGGACTTTGGCTCAGGCCATGATCTCACAGTTCGTGAGTTCAAGCCCTGCATCGGGCTCTGTGCTGACAGCCTGGAGCCTGCTTGGGATCCTCTGCTCCTCTCCCTCTGGCTCTCTCTCTCTCTCAAATTAAGTAAACATTTTTTAAAAATAAAATTATGCGGAAAGACAGTTAAGAGAGGAAGAGACGAGACACGCGAGGTAGTTGGGACGTGTGGGTGTGGAACAAGCAAGATAATTCCGCCTCAGACCTGGGGGGGGGACAGACACCGACCCGGGTCCCTGCTTCATCCTGAGATCTGTGGCTGCCAGGCCTGGGGGTGGGGGGGGTCCCCTGTGTGTCCCTGGGAGAAGGCTGAGGGGTGCAGTGTCTGGGGAGTAAGTGGGCCCGTGTCCCGTTAGCCACCCCCTACTCCGCGATCGACACGTGGCCGGGCCGGCGGAGCGGGGGCATGATCGTCATCACGTCCATCCTGGGCTCCCTACCCTTCTTCCTGCTCGTCGCCTTTGCTGGTGCCATCGTCCTCAGCCTCCTGTGAGTAGCCGCGGGCTGGAGGGTGCGACTCGGGGTGCACACCAGGCACGCTCCTCCTCGAGCGTCCCCCCCCCCCCAGGCAGGGGAGAGCCCAGAAGGCCATGGAGCTGCCGTCCACCCCGGGGTGGGGGCGGGGCCGGGGGCTGGTGAGAGGGGAGCAGTGTCCTGGGGTGTCCGAGGTCAAATCATTCAGCTGGGTAGGGAGGGGCTCGGTACCCGGGCTTTGCGGGCAGCGTCCGGCTCTGACACCTCTCCTTCTGTGCCTCAATTTCCTCATCCGGGCGACGGGGATACGAATAAATACTATCCTCTTTGTGGAGTCTTGAAGGTTAAGTGACATAATCCCTAGAGTTTTCAGGGCAGCACCTGGACACTCAGGAAATATTAGCTTTGTTGTCGTAGTTCAGTTCACCTACTTGCTGTAAGATGGGGAAACTGAGGCCCAAGGTCACAACAGCCAGTTAAAACAGAGTTGAGCTCAGAGCCCTGGGCTTCTGAAGCTACCAACAGCTCTGATGTTGGACGAGGACTTGAGGTCTCCCGTGGGGGGTCCGTCGCAGCTCACAGGGCTGCCTGGTGGGAAGTCAGGTGTGCCCACATTCCACTCGTCCTGGGACGATGGCGCAGGGGGGAGAATCAAGGCACTGGCAGGTGCTGTGGGAATCTAGAGGAAGGGGAGGAAGGTCCTGGCTGGATCCCTGCCAGGGAGGGCTTCCTGGAGGAAGGGGCAGGAGGAGCCGAGTCTGTACGGGGATGAGTCGTCAGGTCCTACGCAGAGTGCTGCTCAGAGAGAGGGAGGCTCTGAAGGGGGAGAGGGTGCCTGCCCCAGTGCTGGTGGGAGGACAGATGGGAAGTCCCCTTGGAGCAGGTGAAATTAAGGGGACACAGAGACCAGCCAGGTGGGAAAAGCCCTGTGGGCTGGGTGGGGGATGGGGAAGGGGACAACGAACTTGCAAATCAGGTTGCCCTCTGCCATTTAAGTCCTTAAAAACACAAATAACAGATGAGATTAGTCACTAGGAGACTGGTCTGTCTGGTCGGACTTGGGAGCCCTGGGTATGTCCCTCCCTCCTTGTGGGCAGCACATTAATCTGGCACCAAAGGTCCCATCCCAGCCCCAGCGACACCAGACTGCCCACTGTTACCCCAGCCCTTCCTGTCACGTGCCTGGAATGCCTTTCTCAGCCCCCTCCTCCAGGAAGCCTTCCTGTCCGTTCTGTCTGGTCATTCTTTCCTGTGGCCTGTCTTCCACAATCTTAGCTCTTTGGGGATTTGGGACGGCGGCCTCCAAGTGTCCAGCTCATGACAAGATCTGTAAATCGTCTGTTCCCTCAGTTCCAAAGGGGGTGCCCCTTCCCTTATCCCGGGGCCCTGGCACGCAGTGAGGGCTCTGGAAAGACTGGTCTCTGGCCGAGGGCAGCGTCTACGTAGAAAGGTCCCTGAGCAGCTGCAGGGGTTTAGGCTTGCTCTGTGCCCCTAACCCTTACTCTCTTCCTCTGCTTGGTCAGGGACACGGGCGGTCCTGACATGGAAACGACACACGACTCCCAGATCACGCAGGAGGCCGTCCCCAAGACCCTGGGGACCTCGGAGCCCGCGTACACGTCTGGGAACCGGGGGCCGCCGCTGGACAGGGCTGACGTGTATTCCAGCTAGCTGCAGGACTGAGCCCGGCCCGGCTCCTGGGCGGGAGGCCTTCTCCCCACTGGCCTTGGCCAGGGGGTGTGCGGGCAGCCGGTGCCCTGACCCCACCCACGGCGGAACAGGGTGTGTTGGCCCAACCTGCGGGAAAACTGTTAATAAAATCTTCCCAAGGTTTTGAGTTCCAAATGAATGAGGGACAAGACAGATGAATGAATGCTTGAGTCCGTGTTGGGCGGATTGTGTCTCTAGAGGGTGGGGGCAGGGGACTGATTTTCCATCAGAGTGGAGGGGGTGAGGGTTAGGAAAACGGGTGTCAGAACCCCTGGAACATCCGGAAGATGGAGGAAGCAGCACCCCCCTGATCGCCTCCCGTGAGCTGGAGGGGTCCCGAGAGACGGGCCGGGCGTGCAGTCACTAGATGGTGTTTGGGGTTCGCTGACTCCGAGGTGCTTGAAGCTGAACTGGGCCCCACAGGGGCAGCGGCCATCAACTCTTGTGTCCCCCAGCAGCCATCTCCTTCTCTCCGGGGCTCAGCTTCCTCATCTGTAAAATGGGCTGATGTGTAAATGGCTACTTTCAAAGCTCCTTCCCTGCTTTCCCTGAGGGCACCGCGGTGGGCGGGCCGAAGAGGCTTCCGGAAACAGAAGAGGAGCACTGAGTCCACTTGTGGGGGTGCCGCAGGGACCCTCCTACTCCCGCTTCCCGGCTCAGATGACTCAGTTCTCTCTTCTGAGCCAGGTAGCAAGACCACTTCCCTCTGGGGAACGTGCAAAACGAGTCATGGTTTTCCCATCACGGAAAGGAGAAATTTCTCCGAGCAGGGCTGGGTTAAAGCAGGCACGCTAACCTGTCAGCTGTGAGGTTGACAACGCTCCTGAGAGGCGGCGGTCTCCCCGCTGGCCTTCATCAGCAGTGGCTGATGGGGTCCACTGAGACCACCAGATCTTCCTCTGGGGGTACGGATGCTGAGACCAGCACGGGTCCACCAGCGGGTTCCAAAGCCAGGAAGGCAGGAGGCAGAAGCTGTGAGAAGAAGCCTAAAGGCAGGGAAGGGTCAAGAGAAGCCAAAGCGGCTGAGGGTCCATCAGGGTGGCCGCGGCCACGGGAGCTGCGAGGAATCCAGTCCCTGGGCCGTGGGGAGGAGGGAGAGGTGGCACAGACTGGGTAGGCTCCGGCCAGCTCTGGATCCCTCGACACTGTATTCCAAGCCCAGGAGCACTAGCCTGGGCGGCCACTGTGCTTCTGTGCTAATTCGTCCTCCCGAGCCCTGCCTCCAGTAGGGCTGTGCTTCCAGAGCTCCTCCAGGAGAAACCCCAGCGGCCGCAGAGGGGAGGCAAGGCTTCCGGAAGTCTGCCCTTGTTAAAAATTCCTGCAAATGTGCATTTTGGTTTTTTTTTTCCATTTTTTAACAAGTAATCTCTACGCCCAGTGTGGGGCTCGAACTCACAACCCTGAGATCAAGAGCCGCACCCTGCCTTCTGTTTTGTAACATGCCTGTATTTATTTTAATTGAGGTGGGCTTCACATAACACACAATTAACCACTTTAAAGCAAACAGTTCAGTGGCATTTAGAACATTCTTGATGTTATGCAACCATCACCTCTGCCTGGTTCCTGAATGTTTCCATCACCCCAAAAGGAAACCCTGTACCTATCAAGCAGGGACTTCCTGTTTCCTCCCCCCCACCCCCACCCCCCAACCCGAGTCCCTGACAACCACCAGTGTCTCTGGACATTTTGTACCCACGGACTCATACGACGCGTGGGCTTTTGAGTCTGGCTTGTCATGTTTGAGTCTTTGGTCATGTTTCTGAGGTCCAGCCACACCGTAGCAGGTGTCGGTGCCTTGTTCCCTGCTCATTCTCTCTCTCTCAAAAATAAAGAAACATTAAAAAGGAAGAAGAAGAAGAAGACAGGGCGCCTGGGTGGCTCCGTGGGTGGCTGGGTGGCTGAGCCGTCTTCGGCTCGGGTCATGATCTCACGGTTTGGGAGTTCGAGCCCCGCTCTCGTGGGCTCTGTGCTGACAGCTCGGAGTCAAAATCTTTGTGTCCCTCCCTCTCTCTCTGCCCCTCCCCCGCTCACGTTCTGCCTTCTGTCATGCTCTCTCTCAAAAATAAATAAGCATTATAAAACAACAAAAAAAGGCGACTCGTGGAGCAGCTCCCAGCCTGTACCCAGAAGCCCCTGCACATACTCACATCGGCCACGTAGGCAGGGCTTCCCCACGGCTGCTCGGAGCCTTGGCCACACGCCCTGTGACCTCCAGGACAGGCGAGCACAGGAGGCGCGGGGGGTCGGTGCCACAGAGCCACCGCCAGCCTCCGCATCTTCCCTGGAGGCCGCCGGGGGCCGGGTTCCCATCCCGGGTTCCCATCCTGGGTTCTGATGAGGTTTAAGGCTTCCTGCCTTACGGTGCTGCTGGAGCAGGAAAGTTCAGTCCAGGAGTGTCCCCCTACTCATGAGGCAGTGGTCTGGCCCCTGGTGATTCTGGGTCAGCCTGCAGGATCACAGGGGGCTGGGGTCTCGCCCGGCTTTCCTTGGCTGTCTGAGTCTAACAAGGAAATTCGTTTGTTCCCCACCGAATCTGCCAGCCTGGCCTCGGCAGGCCTGTTACGGCATAACCCACAGACTTTCTTTTTTGTTTTCTTTTGACTTGTTTTTTTTTTTGGGGGGGGGGGGACGCGCAAGTGAACGAGGGGCAGAGAGAGAGAGAGAGAAGCAGGACTCAGCTGACGCAGGGCTCGAACCCACGAACCGCGAGATCGTGGCCTGAGCCAAAGCCGGACGGTTAACCAACTGAGCTGCCCAGGCGCCCACAGAGGCTGATGCGCGGAGCACACATGATGTGAGAGGCCCGGGGACTGGCTGAGATCACTTAAGGGGGATACAGAGACTGCAAAGGACCGAGCGCGTCCGCAGTGGGGCCGGGATGGAGGGACGCCCAAGAGAACAGGAGGAGAACTCACCGGAAAGCTGCACCCTACCTTCTGTGACCCCGACGCGGTCTCTGGCCTCTGTTCTCCCGCTCGGCCCCCGAACCTCCCCATCACTGAGATGGTGACAGTGTTGCTCCCATGTCTCCAAAACCTCCTCCCCAATACACACTTCTGTCCACAAAACAGCCTCTCTGGGGTCCTTCGTTTGGTCCCTCCCGTGCAGCACCGGGGGAGAGAAGGGAAACCAGCGTCTTTCAGAGGGTGGGTTGAAGGGGGAGGCCAAGGCCCTGCTAACTCCCAGCCAGCTCTATCCCGTCGGAGCAGAAGAACCCAAGCAGCTGGGCGGGGAGGTGGGTGGAAGACATCGCGAGTGGTGCATGCGTTCTGGGCTGCACTAAGAAGGCTCTCGGAAACTCGTCATTGTAAATACCCACAGGAGCGATTTTCCTGGCCCCTCCCCCGCCTGCCCCATGGCTGAGATGGCAGGACCTTCAAAATGCGCTTTCCATCTCCGCATAGACACGGCCTCACCTTCCCTCCTACCCCAGGCGTGGCTCGTCAATGAACTAATCACATAGACGTGCTGTGTGACTTGGGGCAAGGCAGTAACCTCTCTGGGCGCCCTTGACCTCATGGGTGCAGAGAGGGTCGGAATGCTTGGGAAGCCCGCTCAAAGATAAGTGATTTTTTTTTTCCCTCAGATCTGATCAATCACAAAGTGGTGTCATTCAGTTCAACCCAATAGAGCCCTGAGCCCCAGGCTTGGGAAAGCTGGCCAGAACAGAAATGCACAGACGAATTGTCAGAGCAGAGCCTTGGACAGAGCACGGTCTGGCCTTAAACACACAGGTCGGGCTAGAAGTCCCGTCGGATTCGGAGGTATGATCCCCTCCCCACCAATCAGGGCCGGAATAGTCAGGAGGGCTTCCTGGAGGAGAAGGTACTTTTCTCAGATCCCTACCATCTCTAACCCAGCTCCTGAGCCCCGAGGCTGTATCCCACGGCCCTGTCACAGGTAGATAAATGCTGAAACAATAGGAACAAGGTCTCGGGACGTTGTGTTTCTTGTTCTTCCATTTTAAATTCAGGATTCTGAATTTTACAAGCGACACAGCACCCTGGCTGCTTGAAGAGGACCGAGGAGGCTAGGGTGCTCTTTGGCGGGGCCTCAGACCTGTGCCCCGGTTACTGATCCCTTGAGCCTCCTTCCAGGCCCCTCCCCAGAGCCCTCTACCTGGCTGGAGAGGTGCCTACAGTCACTATCCCCCCTCCTTTGTGGGTCGTGTGACAATCCGACGATGGACATGGAATTATTGTGGGACGTCTCTGCCCCTGGGAGCTCAGGAACACTCGCCGGGGGCCCCTTGGCACACAGGGCCCTGCTACTGCTCGACCTCGCCCCCAAAGCTCACCCTCTCTTCCCACCTGCACTGAATGGCTGTGCCCTGTACGACAAGCCCAGGCCTCGGAATGCGAAGGACGGTTCAACCTTCCGTGGCAAGGGGCAGGGGGAGAGGTCTGTCCCAAGTCACACGAGCTCTCATCGCATCAAGAATGGCCCAGGGGAGGAAACTGTCTGGACACAGAGGCATCTGTCCGTGTCCTCCAACGCAGCTCCTGCTTCCTTCCTCCATCTTCATTCGGCTCTCCATGCAGCAGTCAGGGATGCTGTGAAAATGTCCTGTCCGCACGTTGGCTGCTCCTCCCCCCACCTGCCGGTGTCCCCGTGTCTCCAGGTGTAGAAGCCAGAATCTTCCCACGACTGGGAGAGACGTCCTACCCTGAATGCTATCGGCTGCTGTCACTTCTCTCTGGCCACGGCATTCACCCAAGGAGGGGCTCTCGGGCGTTTCCAGTTTGGGGCTATTCTGAACACAGCTGCTGTGAACCTTTATGTGAGGTTTGCCACCAACACAGTTTTCATTTTTTTCTCCCCTGGGATGAACACCCGAGGGTGTAATTGTTGGTCTGCACGTTCACTTTTGAAAGAAGCTGCCACGCTGTTTTCCACAGTGGTTGGAGACCATTTACGGTTCCCCCAGCACTGGATGGATCCTCCGGTTTTTCTGCATCCTTCCCAGCATTTGGTGTTATCACTATTTTTTATTTTAGCCTTTCTGATAGGTGGGCACACCCCACCTGCCCAGCAGCAGAGTGTGAGTTCTGGTTCCTTCGCACCCTAACAACACTCAGTATGGTTAGTCTTCTTAATTTTGGCCATTTAATTTTACATCCGTATGTAAGGCTATCTCTT